TAAGACCTCGTTCTGATGTGTTCAACGGTGAGGTTCGATGTGATGACTAGGTATGCCTAGTCTCCGCAGGACACAGTGCCGATAAATCCTGCTTCGATGAGATATGTAGTCAGACTGATAGTGGATTGAAGTCACTACACAACCATTAAAAAAGGGCTATGACCAAAATAAAAAAAGCCCAAAGGGACCTAAAGATGAAGGCGGATCCAATGAATGTGCCAAAAATGAAGGTAGTTAATGCAGAGCCATGAATATATAGCAAAATTTATGCGAATCAAGAAAAAATAATGCTCATATAAACTATTCCATTCTAAATGCTTGCGATTTTCATTTCGCAGAAGGTACCTACTGATGTCTGGAAGAGCTTTGTCTGCGACGATGCCAATACACGAGGAGCCACGAATCGCCAGAAGGCAGATATTTTGCCAGAAACCGTACTGGTTGAATTCGAATTGACGTCGTTACAAACGAGAATTGTGGAGCCAATAATGTTGACCCTTTCTGTTTGTCTAGTGCGAAATTTCGCAAGCGAGACGATATATCCGAGCGCCTCTTGGGTACGCAGAACATCAAAGGCAGGCTCGCTGAGGATGAACTTAATGGTAATAAGTTAGTTAAAAAGTTACAAATTTTAATGGTATAATAGAGGACATAAACTAATAAGATAAATGGAAAACCATAACTTTTATTAAAGATTTGCTGATAGTCTCTTATGCATTAGCTATGGTATGCATGAAAAGGAAGTATAATTTAGACTTGATTTTAACAAGAGATAATAAAATATTCGGTTTACATTAATTATTTTTCGCATTTTAAGTATTGTTTCGAGACTACACATGCATGAAGACGAGAGGGATATTTGAGTGACTAATTTATTTAATATGAGATGTATTCACCCAATTTCGTTTAAGGTAATGAAGGACTGATAGAAGAATTTTCCCACAATGATATGAGTGGAGCTGACGTTTCCATCGAATTTCACATAGCCTTGCTTTCCCAAAAGATGTTCTCATCCAGGGTTTCGACCTCGCATCGGTCTTATCAATACCCCTAGTGGGAGTCAGACCGTGACAATGCAGAATGGGAGCTTGACACGCTAACCACTCGGCCACATTGTCACGAGTGCCCTTGGGTCACAGGGCAAATCTGAATTTCACACATATATATATATATATAATTAGATCGAAAACCCTGAAATGTAATATTAATCATCTGGACTATAGGTTTTATATATCCAGGGTTATCTG